TTTTTTAAGGAAATAGATGGACAAGGAACTTTTTGTCAAAAATAAAACATTTTATCTATTTACCTTTCTAGTTCGTTTCTTTCTGGATATTGCTGGGTATAAAATTAAAAAATATTTTTTAACTCTGAGCTAAGTTGGATTTAGAGGAGTGGCTTATGAATGAAGAAGGGTAATCGTGATTTTAAGGCTTTGTAACAGTTTAAAGGCACTTAAGTGTTGTGTCAAAGCAGAGTGGAATCTGGGGTATCAAGCTTTATGTAGGCAATCTGTCAGTTCGAAAATCAGACCTCTGTTGCGCGAGTGGTTAGGCAATAGACTGGTTATCTGTAACCCTCTATTGCAAGAACGTGAGTTCGATTCCCACCAGAGGCTGGATCTCTCAATCATTTTATAGAATATTGTGGATTTGACATAGATTCTTAGATGTTCAAACACACTTAAGTCAAGGATCAAATCAGCTTAACTCGTTTGTTAAACAAATCATTTTACTATTTCTGTAAAATTCATTAATTTCGTCTCAAACCTTAATTTCCAAAAAATGTAAATTTCAAACTCCTTCAAGAATTCACATTAACCCCTTGATTTCACAATCCATCCTTCCTAGAAATTTATGAGAATTCCTTCGTTCATTTTCAACATTAATTGATTAAGCATGAAGAACGAAGAAAGGTTAAAGATTTTTGTTTCGGACAGTAAAAAGAGGATTCAAAGAGATTAATTGATATAGATTATAATCAATTATTGGCCATTACCAAAAGGATTTACCATTAATGAAATTTATATTTTTTGCTGCGTCATCAGTTCGTGAAATATGTAGACATGCTACGTATATAAAGACAAATTGCGACTTGAGCTTTAAAAGCTATTAAAGATGTAACAAACGAGGAATTGATGGCCTTGTACATTCGCTTCGATGGCTCGAAGAATGAATTTGTTATTAATAATCAAGAGGACGTCCACCTAGAGAAACATGAGAGCTTATTTATAAATTTTTGTCGATGATTCAAAATGGCAGTTTCAAATTTGCTTAGCAAGTCTGAATTAATACATAATAATTAAGGATTTTCATCAATCCGGGTGCACAAATTAAATTTAATTCATATGCAAATTATTATAATTTAAATTAAAATATTTCCTCATTAATTATTTTACCAATAATTTGAGCTTTGCATAATTATCATCAATTTATTTGAGTGATAGTTGGTGTTTGTGATTGTGTTTGGTAGGGATGAATTTTGCGGAGAAAATTATTCAAATTGGCAAATTCAAATTTATTGGCTTTTGTTGGATTAATTCAATTAAAGTTGTTGCAAATTTTGCGAGCTACTAAATTGATGTTTGTGATAGTGAAATGAGTAAGGTTTTAGGATAAGAGTGGGAAGGGATATAAATTTACCAAAATATTCTTGAAATTCCAAAGGTTTTTCTTTTGAATCCAACAATTTCATGCACTTCCAAAAATCCATTTAAAATCATTCAAGTCATTCAAAAGCTAGTAATCCATTCCTTTAGCATAATTGACGATTACTCGCTTTAACAAACACATTCTTAAAGGAGCACTAAAGTAAATGAATATCAATACATAACAGAAGATAAATAAACAGAATTGAACATAGCAAATGCAATAATATGGCAACAGATATCACATTCAATTCCTTTTTTGTCGTCTTGATTCTGTTATTTATTTATTTATTTATGTATCTCTGTTTAGATGCTTTTGGCTAAGTTTTCCATTCGAGAATTTATTTATTTCGTGATTTAATTCCGATTCTAGAAGGTCTGGGATAAGTGTAGACTATATAAACTATTTGGAATTCTGTTTCTAGCAGATCGATACGTATAAAGTTCAAATAATGCAACAAATAATTATTTTATAAAGTTTGCGTCGCAATTGAAATGGCTTGAGGAGGAAAAATAGGTTAAATTTCATCAATATAAAGTTTTAGTTCAGATTAATTAAAATCGAAATTGTAGCAATAAACTTCAATCAACATGCAATGAATAAGAAACTTATTCACGAATTCTTCGCTTCTTCTGAAGTTTCTCGTTTTAATTTTTCATCATTTGAATAATAAAAAAGTTTTTGTGCGATGTTTTGAGTGAGGTATTGAGGTCCATTTATTCAGATTGTCTTTTATGATCAAATTTCTAAAGAATACAGGGAGGCTAATGGAAATTGAGGGTGGGGAGGGGGGGTGGGGGCTTGACTGAACCTTGAAAGGACTATTTCCTTTTTATTTTAATTGCAATTTATTACGTCACGGTGGGACGTGATACATTTCATGTCCTTTCTGACAATATTTCATTATAAGGTTATCTTGTAGCTCTAGTTTCTATTTTATTAAGCAGTCGAAGTATCTAAACTTCTGAAAAAGAACAAATTTGGAAATGGCTGGATTTGAACCGACGACCTTAAAGTTACCAAACCAAATTTGAAACATGCGCCTTACCTATTCAACCAGCAAGCGACTTAACTACTAATAATCAGGATGCACATTTAAAAGTGAACTCTAAACCAGCGGTGGACAACCTTTTTTGAGTCATAGCTCATTTTGAGGTTTAACCATGAACTTAACCAAACACAGCAATCGGTTCGTAGGATTGTGCGAACAAAGATCGACCATTACTGCTCAAAACTTACACTCATAAAAAAAATTTAACATTTTTCATTGTTATTTCGTTGTAAACCAGATTTAACAATGACATTGTTAAATTTATATGACGAAAAAAAAAGTTAACAATTTCATCGTTAGAATTATTTTTACAATCAATTAACGATAAGATTGTAGCGTAACGATGGTGATTGTTAATTTTACAATGGTCATCGTTAATATTAAATTTTAAATAATTTAACTTTACTTTAGTTTTGAATAATCATAATTAAATAAAAATTCAGTATGAAAAGTGAGTTTTATTTCTGTGTACTTAAGAATTATGAAAATTTAAAAAAGTTGATTTTTTATTAAAAAATGTTGTACTTGAATTAATATTCGTTAATTAAATTATTTTTCAATACTTTCTATTGATGTTTGACAAAAATTATAATTAAAATCTTATTCATTTTCACTATCTTTAAAATTTACCTTTTCATTTAAATAATTATTTTGTCACTTTCAAATCAGATAAAAAATTAAGAAATGCGATTACGATTAAACAGGCGACATTGGAAGTTAAGCAACAAAATTGCATTTCCTTTTTGGATGGGTGACCATTTTTTCTTCGAAATTTTTTTTTAACAATATGATTGTTAAATTTTACAATTTCATTGTTGACAAAAATTTTTTACAATGGTCATTGTTAAATTTAACAATTTCATGGTCAACGCTATTTTAATCATGACATTGTTAAAATTTTCATACAAAGTAACAATGCATTGTTAATTTTTTTTTATGAGTATACAACTTCCATATAAAAATCTGAACTAAGCATCAAACTGAAATTAATGCTTAACAAATGCGCCAATTCCATCGACTACCCTTTATTCTCTCCTCATAATATTAATGAGAATTTCTCATTTTCATTGAAATATGCTGAAGACATAGAAAAGCTTTCAAAATAATTTTCTTTCACCATGGCAAAGTTCGGTAAAGAATTGCTGGTGAAATGTGACGGAATTTTAGGCAAGAAAGAAGCGAAATTTTCGATATTCTTATTTAATTTATTTAGCAAACTTTTCATTTTTTCTTCTTGTGAGCTTTTAAGAATCCGATAAAAATTCTTACATAAAAAAATTCTCGTGTCCGTAACAGCTGTACATCTTGTGCGTAAAGTTTTACCCTTAAAAGCAATTATTAAAGCTGAAAAGTTTATGATTTTATGCAGGCTATAAATAAGCCCCTATTCTATAAATCATAATGCCGAGTCTGGCATTTAAATTTTAATGAGAATTATTATTTCATTGTTATTATTAGGAAGAGCATGAATTGTTATAATTATGGCTTCGGAGGATTTAAGATTCAGACAATATTGTTTCAATGAATAGAACATATTAGACGCCTTTTCATCTCTGACAGTTTGTGATGTATTAAAATGTCTTAACATATTAAATTCTTATTAATAGATATGTTTAATTTTATGATGTGCTGACAGCAGAAGCTATGATAATTTTAATGAGTTGGATATTAAATTTGATAATGTGTAATTTTGATAATGGATTTATGTTCAATGAGATTTCAAAGTTTTTGAGATAATTTCTTTAAAATTTGAATTAAAATTTAAGTTATTTTGAATTTAAATTCCGTAAATCAATTGTTTGTTACCCAATCAAATGAAATGATGAACCTGAAATGTATCAGACTTTTAATTAGAAATCTATTGGAATAAGCGATTCCATGTAAAGCAAGTCAACGATAAATCATGTTGGTGAAAGGGAACAGTAAAAAATAGTGTAACTTATATATGGGATTTAGCTATTAAGTCGTCTAGCCCACAATAGCTCAGTGGTAGGATCATGCGACCGGAACCGTAGGCCATGGGTTCGAGTCCCACTCGGATCCTTTATTCGGAGTTATACTTTTTATTGAGGTTATGTCATCTAGAAGTTTGTTTCTTCCTTCTAGATGTTTCAATACAATCTTATAATAAATCCTAGTCAAAACATTTAATAGTTTATAAATATTGATGAATTAAAACAACAACTTGTAAATTGTACAAATCTACCATCCAAAAGAAGTTCAAAGTTTCTCGGATAAGGACGTAACCTTGAAATATTGGCGGCAGAGTCGTATTTATGCTGGATTAGCCAAAAATAATAATTTATTAAGTTTGTAAAAATCACTCTAAAGTTCATTTAAAACAACAATTTTAAAAATATCTAGCTACACCCCTGATCCACTGATAATGATAATGCATACAAAAAAAAATTAAAAAATCGAAAAAATGACTTAAGATTAAGTAATCAAAAGTGCTATTTCTAAATAACATAATCTTATCGCCTTTTTAATACGAGCGTTTTAACGACAGACGTGATAAATTTCAATTTCACATTTTTATTAATTTTTAGTTTCATAAAAGCCTCTCAAGATGTCAACTGTAAATCTCATCGTGTTGATCTTATTAAATTTATTATTGCAATCACATGCCGAAGATTACCGTGACATCCAACTGACGTGTAAGAAGAATTTTTACATCACAGATTGTGAAATTTTAGACGACATTTCTGAATTGGAGACAACAAAAGTTGTAAATGTGGCAGCACCAGATGAGAAAGTAAAATTAGAAAAATATTTTCGTGTCAGCAACAAAAGTTTTCCGATTAATATGCCCATTGGAATTGGAGAATTATTTCCAAATTTAGAATTATTAAGCATTGTCTTATCGCCTTTAAAATTCATAAAAAGAAGAAATTTTGCAAGCATGGAAAAACTAACGACGCTGGATTTAAGATATAACAAAATTGAAAAAGTTCCATCGAAAACTTTTTATGACCTGCCAAAATTAACAACTTTGAATCTATCTGGAAATTCAATAAAATTCCTGCATCTTGATTTGTTCTTGAACAATCCAGAACTTGAAGAATTTGCAGCAGCAAAAAATGAAATTAAAAAGTTGTCATTCCAAACTTTCCAAAAGAGTTTAAAACTTAAAAGATTTAATGTAAGCTTCAACAATTTCCAAAGCATTTCTTTTGATTTCACAAAACTTCCAAACTTAACGGATGTTGTATTTAAAAATAGTTTTGAATGCAATTTTGAGTTTAAAATTGACAGAAATGATCATGCAGATTGCACACATGAAAGATGCACGCATAACTTGAAACGTTTTCAATTTTGGATTGAGAAATATTGTGCAGTTGTGAGCGAGCTGACTGGAGATGAAGATGACTCTCCTGGTCCTGACAGTGAGAAGGACTAGATCTGAACTATGCATCTATACAACTGACAAGGTGGAAATACAAGACAATTTTAATCCAATAGTAGCTAAGCAAAAAAAAAAGGAATTGAAAATACAAATTGATATGGCTAGACATCTTTGCAAAGATACTTCCTAAATAATGTAAAAAGCTGTTAAAATAAATATTTTAATTAAGTTTAAATCAGATCGTTTAAGAGTAATTGGATAAAAAATAAAAATAAGGATGCAAATCACTTCCTTGTATGATATTTGTGTCGGAAACTAAAAACTCAAATCTAGAAGAATTTAAGTAATATTCCGAAACCAAAAACTAAGATCCAGAAGAATTTTAACCATGTATGCTACCAAAAACCAAGATCCAGTCGAATTTAAGTCGTTTTCCGAAACCAAAAACTAAGGTTCAGAAGAATTTAAGTCGTTTTTTGAAACCAAAAACTAAGATCCAGGAGAATTTTAATCATTTATGGAACCAAAAGTACTAAATTATCATATATCATCAATCTAATGCAAAATACCAGAAATTTTTAAGTACTTCCAGTTCCGAGATAAATGGGAACCCAGCGAACCAGTCAAAGTGAACCAATAAATGCATTGTTTCTTAGGAGCCGAGCCATTGACAATACTCACAATGTTTAAAGAGTTCATTTTGAAAAGGCATAACTTCACTGTTGCATAATCTGATCTATAATCTCTAAAGACCATCTTTAAATCATCATCCATTTCAATCATATTTCCAATGAAATTATTATTGCTATTCAAGTGGCTTGGAGCATGTTTATCCACGTTTTGTTTATTACCTTTTTTCCACTGAATCAATTTCTCTTATTTCTCAAGATAGAAATTTGTTTATTACACGTGTAATATCCAAAAATGATGAATCGTTGTTTAATATCTTCGCAACATTTGAAGTTGTCAAATTAAGTGACACAAAAAATTAAGGGGAAAACAAAATGATGGAAAAAAATTCATATAAACCCTAAGAAAATGAAAAATGAGCATAAAACCCCTTTTCCTGACCACACGCCTGATTTCCAACCAAATTTTTTTTTCATCATGATGGTTCCCCCTTGAACTATCTGAAGCATCATTGAAGGAAATGTTTGGAACAAAAAGTCGTCAGGCATTAAACCTAATTATCCATTCAACATAATTTAATTGGCAAAAGAAAAAATAACCCTTAAATTGCTGACTAAACAGATCCTTTAATTTCTATTAAAGAAAATTCGGTAGCAACAATTGAAGACGAGATATTCAAAAGATGAGGAAAAAAGGATCTAAAATTAAATTTGTTTGTGCTTTGTGAAACAGAAAATTTCATGGATGAAAAAAAAATTGATTTTATTATAAAATTTTTAATTAAAATTGATCAAGCTATTTTGTTAATAAATTCAAGACAGGATGATAAGAAGTAAAAATTGAGCTTCTTCCGTTTTTGCTCAAGGGTGCGAAATTAATTGAAAGTAATGGGGTTTGTGGTTAAAGAATTTATATTGCGTATCAAGTAGAAGACTTTTTAACTGTGTTAAAATTATAATTGTAAATTTTGTAGATTTTGATAGGCTTAATTAAAAATGTAGCTAGTAAATACACTTAAGCTGAGGAGCATGAGCTTGTTAATTGTCAAGGATTACATTGTTTGAAGAAAAACTAAGGTTCAATTCTTTAAAAATTAAGCTTTCATCACCAAATTAAACAAATAGTTATTTTTGAGGTTAAAATCTTCAGACAACAAAGCTCTAGTCTTCCAAAAATCAATAAAAAAATTGCTGACGAAAGCTTGTTAAAATTCAACTTTAAAATAAAATCATCATTGCCATTAAAAAATGCCTCATTATCCGTAATTATCATATAATCACAATTATATTTCCGTGCTCACACAAGCCACAAAAAAAAAGAATATTTTAATTCCGATAATTGAGTTAATATATTCAACTACCTGAACAAAGAAGAGATAATTTGATAAAAACGCATTAATTTGTAAAATTATCACATGTGAAAATGGGATGGAATTATAAACTTGCCTAGCTGTTATTTCATTTAATAATTTCTCTCACATATTCCAAATTAAACTGCGATATAATAGCTCACATTATAGTTGTAGTCACGAAGAGCTTTTAATAATAAATAAGTTGTGAGGCTATATTTTAATCTGTATATGCATGAAATAATAATGGGAGTTGGAAATTTTCATATTGATAAATAATGCAACGCAATTAATGGTTGATGTAATTGTACCTAAATGTCGGAGGTGCACCGCAAAATAGGTTATTGGTTGAATGTCTGGATTTAATAGATGTCATAGTAATAAATGAATGCTAGGAGTCGTCATCACAGCTTACTACTCTCATAGAACCTCTTCCTATGCTATTCACTCTTTTCTATAAACTGAGATACATCCAATGCCATACTTCCTCAATCTTGATAACAACAAATGACAAAATCAAGCAGCTTTCCTTCAATGTATGCCAAATGTGACAAAATAATTTTTTGCACACAAAATCACAGTCAGACTTTATGATCCACGTGTATACTCAACTTCCATTAACGGAAATTCCCTCAAAAGAAAATAAATTAATGGATGTCATACATGAATGGTTTAATTGACCACATGTATGTTTAAAAAATGAATGATTACTATCGACATCAAGCTTACATGTGTAAAATGGAAGGATCTAAATTGAAATGATTTTTCACAGCAGGTGGACGTAGTAATTATATTTTTAATCAACAGCATTTGACATGTTAGAGACATTTTTCTTACCAATGTTAATCCACTGCAATCAAAAAACCAAAAATTTTGTTTCTCCACTTTGTGTGCCATTAATGTGTGTGTAAATGTGCTTATAAGAGTAGTTATGCGGCAACCACTAAAGTAATGAGTATTAAGAATGAAAGTATATCCAGGTTTTGTGGATTGTGGAAGGTTGTGTGAAATTCAGTTGGATTTGAAACTATTCATAAATTACTGGAAGCTTTAAGTGAACCAGTTTGGATTTGCTGGGGTCAAGAGGTTCTTAGATAAAAGTTGGAAGGAGGAAGGATTAAGATCTAATAGAAACTTAGGCAGAAAACCCTAAATTATTGATTAAGACTTAGATTTCCTGAAGGATTCGAACCCATTTCCTTACAATTATTTACACATATACTCACAATCTTCGACTATATCTCAAATAGCATGGTTTACCTTTAATCCATCGCAACTGACACACAACATTTTTGACATAGTTGCTTCCTTCTCTAGCTGCAGCTCTAACATATTTGCCACAAGATAAAGTAAAACAAAATGAAGCTAAAAATTCAGGACGAGCAGCAAAAAAATTTCTCTTCCGCAAATAACAAAAAAAAATGTCGAGTTTAATCTTCTTTTGGTTTAGGAATGGATTTTAAGGTTGATTATAATGTGCAGCATCACATATGTTGCTTCATTCTTTCTCTGTAAAATATATAGTCAAGCTCTCATAAGCGTAGGTTTCTCATGTACATTCACATTCCATTGCCATAAAATTACACAAAAGAAGGCACAATTTTAATGCATTTCGTATTTACCATTTTGTAAATCGTCATGTATGCCATTAGAAAATGGATCAACATTATATCTTTTATTATCATCACATACATTACAGATTGTTGAAAAGAATAATGTTGTTCTATCCCAACATTCATGAGGTCTATCATCCAGAACATGCATTTTATGGCTGCCTGTTTGTTGTTGCTGCATGTTTTTGTCTAAAATGAAAATAATGTTGATTTTATTGTGAAAAGTTTGTATCATTTATCCATTAAAATTATTTTGTTATGCAAAACATCATTTAGGTTATATTTATTCATATCCAAGTATAGGCATAGAATTTTATGGCGGTTTATGATCAGATCATGCCGAATGTTTGTTTTCGTTGTTGAAATTAATGTGATGGTGAAGTTGGCAAAGTCAAATAAAGGATAGGTTGCCCTGAAGAGCCCTAGACAGCTGTTTTTGGTCCTCAGTTCTCCAACCTTGTCTACCTGTCAAACACAACCCTATTTCAAGAACTAGCTCAATTAATACGATCCTTAAAAAATTCAAAAAACGCTCTACAAACACCTCTCAGAGCAGCAATTCCTATACAATTATTTAAATGCCATAACAACAATAAATTTCCCAGTTTCAATTGACCTAATTTGCTGTCATGAATTCTCAACAGAGACAACGCAATAAAACTCAACAATTTACAGTATGTCCTTAAAATATTCACTCTTGTGTTCAAATAATAAGCTCATTAAATAAACATACTTATAATCACTATTATATACATTATGCTACACTTATTCATCCACACGCTTTTGATGCTACAATGCTGCTTCAAACGTAGTTCAAGTGAATTAATTTCCGATGCTAATTAAATTTAATTGATAATTTTCTCTTTGCTATTTTACGTGGAAAAGTTTTATTTTTTGGGGTAATTTTCATTAAATTTGAAAATTCATAAATGAGATAAATTTGTGTGCAAATTAATACCATCACGTTTTATGCCTTACTTCCAATTAAATGTTTACTATGAAACTCATCCAAAAAGAAAGGAAAATTAAATTATGAGCAGGTAAAGTTATAAGTTGATGGGGCTTTTGAGGAAGTTTTGTGGAGAAATAATTTAAGGATCTATTTTGGATTGAGGTAAGGAGGTGCTGTAGCGACACGTCTCTTTCATGCAGGCCTAGTTTCTAGAGCTATCTGAGGCCTACTCTTCCTAGAATCTAAAATCAAAGTATTATACTTTGTGGTATGACTAGGATAGGATGTCCCAGTAAGCCCTAGTCGACTCCGCAATGCAAGTTTATTTTTTGTGAATTTTCTTTAGCTCTACGTCCATCGAACCAGACTTGGCACGAACAACATAGTCTAATCCTTTGATTTAATAATTAAAATACTTCAAGCCACAAAAATCTCAAAAAACCATAAGAAAATTCCTCACATCTTCTGTGAACAAACTATAAAAACCCGTTTAAATGACATTAATGCCATAACACATCCAGAATATGCTCTAAAAATAAATTTGCGGCTTAAGAAAACTTTTAAGGCTTAATGCCGTATAGAAAGCAATTTAATAAAAACTAAAGGTATGTTCTATATCCTTTGCATGGCTTTCGTTCAACACAAAAAAGGATTAAAATGAGAAATTAAAGATAAAAATGTTCACAAGGCTTGCAAAAAAAGGTATGTCGTTCTGCATGCATGAGCAGATAGCCTGCAAATGAAAGATTTTTATCACTAAGAAATTAGTTAAATTCAGCTTTGTTTCTGTCCTAGTTGTGAAGTTTAATGATGAAATTTAATGGAATATTTTCATCAAGGAATAAGTTTGAGGTGATATTGTGGAATATTTGGTTTGGATACAATGATATTTCGATTTGTTTGATGCCATACTGTGCAATGTGCTGTGTGCTTTTGAAAAAGGCTTTGAAACTGATCAATAATTATCAAATTCATAAAAAATTATCAAAAAAATGATCAAAAATGATGAAAACTTACCAAAAGTCAGCTGATCAGATTTGCACCCTCACTTGTGTGTTCCTATCTTCCTCGGTCCCCCTCTTATGCTTGAATCAAACCATAAAACCTTACTTGTAATGCTTATAAATTCGCTTAATCACAATTCTTCTCATTTCAAGCATTTCCTTCAAAATTCTCAATATTTAAATTATTCAGCAATCTTCATCCTTGCAGAATCATTAACATTAAATTAACATTATTGAATTTTACGCTCAAATATCCATAAAACACCAAACTCGTAAAACCCTCCAAGAACAAATTTCAGACCCTTTTGGATCGATCAAAAGCAAACATGTCTTAAATATTTCAACAATAGCTGGAACACAAGAATTAATAATAAAGCCGTACTCAATATTCAGACTTTCTAGTAATCGATGAAGGGTCTATTATGGCTTATATTTTGCATTATTAATTACAATCCCTTTTGTTCTTTGAAGGAATTTCTATCTTGAGGCTTTTTTGTAAAATTGAAATATTCAGCTACTTCTTGTTCATTATCGAAAGTCATAATCACGTCATTAAGGGAAGAAGACAGCTTTTGAAATTTTTTCTGTGTATTCATTTTTATCCTTTTCAATTTCCGTCCTACAGCCTTAGGCAATTAAGTTTGTGATCAATAAAGATGAAACAAAATATATTCTGGTGCTGGAAGGAATGAGTCGCATTAAGGGGTTATTCATAAATGATGTCCAGCTTTTTGGCATGAGAGGGAGTCTGTCAATCTGCGACACCTTCATACAGTAAATTGACATTGGTAATGGAGGGAGAGTGTGAAAAATAAATGTTTTAATGGACGTTATTTATAATCAACTCCTTACCTTGCGTTGTAAGGCTATATCATTACTTAGTAAAGCTTTGATAAATGGTGCTATTTTCCACTTTTAGTAAAGCTCAACATAAACAAATGCCACTTAAACTGTTTGAAAATAGACACAAGAAAAACAATGAAATCGAGAATAATAACGGTCATTTTTCAAAAGAGAACAATGGATTTTCAGGAATTTCTATTGTTTTTTTCTTGTTGACCCCCCCCCCCCCCCGGACGTCATAATTGAACGGCCCCTAAGGGGATAACAGCTTTATAGGATTTATCATATTTCAATATGCAGGGTCACTTGAAAGAATAGATCTTGTGGAGAAAGAACTTCAAATCTTACAATTTTCAACTTAAAGTAAAGAAAAAAAAACCTTAAATTTTTCCCACAAAGCTGTTACCCCCTGAATCTCCAAAATTGTCCTTTCCTAAAACAATCTCATCTCCTCTACTTCTACTTCTATGTTCTCTTTTATTATGTAAATTGTGAATTGTAAATAGACCCTCGATGGTTTACATTGGTTATTGTCTTGTTAAAAAAGCGTAAATGCTCGTCTTGTTGAATTTTTTCTTTCTCCTTTTTCACGAGAAATTAACCACAAATTTATTGCAAATAAAACATTGAGATAGTATCAAATGGATTGAAAAATTCTTGTGTGGGTGGTGGTTCTTAGTAAATATTTTGCGGTCTTTAAAAAGAATTTATTATATTTAATAAATAATTACTTATGAGATCTTGAATGTTATTATGATGATAGCCTCATTATTTGGGTAGATGAGAAACTCTGTCATGAAATTTAATGAAGATATCTTTTGAAACTAATTAGAACTTTAATTATTGGATGGTAAAGTTGGATGATAAGGTCGGAAATATTGTGGTTGAGTAAACTAATCAGGTTGTGGCTAAGGCTAGATCATCATAATTAGACTGAACTAGGTAGCTCACCCTGATCCCTCTCTATGAATTCTGAACTTCTTGGTAATTGATCAGTTCAAGAGCAAATCACGTGTAGCACAATAAAGCTGCTTTGGCACCGTTACATCGCTGTGATGAAGCCATTTTGATGACATAGACATAGATTTGTTAAGGGACGTCCACAAGTGATTTTCTTTAAGTTTAACCAATCTCACACGCTCATTCTTGATTATTGAAAATTAAACTAACCTCAAAATCTTTAATTCTTCTCTTTTCAGACTTTTCGAAGAGCATGCCGATCTACTCAACATGTTTACTAAATTTAAAGAGCTTAAAACGAAAGAAGAGCAAGCAACATCAGAAGAACTAGCGGAACATGCAACAAAAGTAATGGAGACGATGGATGAGAGTATTCGAAGTCTAGACGAAATTGATGTTTTCTTTCAATTTTTACACGAAACTGGTGCTATTCACACACGTATTCCTGGCTTCACATCTGATCTTTTTTGGGTGAGTTGTCTCTCTTTTTTAGGTTATTTTCTACGAAGATGGAATATCTTTTAAAATAACTTTCCAAGAAAATTTATTGACTTTTATGCGACCTAAAAATGTATAAAATTTATGATGATTCGTCTTCTTGTGGGTAGCTAAGCTGATTACGATGCTATTGTACACTTTTATAAATGGAGATGTACGTGTCCTAACCATTAGAAATGTCAACAATCTTGTGCAATAAATGTCATCATGGATTTTTCTTTCGAAGCTTTTTGTGAATGTTTTATGATACAGTTGACATGAAAAACTCAGCAAGAACTATGACTTTCTACGAAAAATAAAAATAAAAGTCGTTTTTTTAGAAGATGAGAGAACAAAACAATATAAAAAGAATGCTTAAAAAGTAAATGGTATACAATTTTGAATGGCATTATTTTAAAAGATTTCACAATGCAAAGCTTTAAAGTTCAAAGTTTGAAAGTTTCTGGATCTTATTATCTAGGACGAATCTGAATTGTTCAATGATTTGCAACTTTGATTTGCCCAAGAAACTTAAATCAATATTTCTGAATAACACCAGCAAGTCCTTGAAAAGAAGTGCCTTACATACATCCAACACCATAACTTAATTAAAGCTCATGACATGCAAGTATTGTCATGACAATAGAGAAGCATAAAAAGTCTGCCATGTCAAATTTCTTAACTTTTGAGGAGGGTATGAAAATCTGAAAATGTTTTCTCTTGACTTTATCACCTTTGTATCCTAAACATGACTAGAATCATCATGACAAATAAGAGTATTCTTATCTTATGAAATTTATTAACAACAACAACAGCTATGTTGAAACTCAAGACTTGTAGCTATAATATTCCACCAGTTCCGACTAAGGTATGCGATAATAATATGTATGGCTGGATTGTGTCATTTTTAAAATTTTGGCGGTGTTGTGCCATATTACAAAATATGGCTGGATTATGCCACATTACAAAATATGGCTGAAGTGTGCCATATTTGAGAATATGGCAGGGTTGACCCAAATTACAAAATATGGCTGGAATGTGCCATATTTGAGAATATGGCTAGGTTGAGCCATATTACAAAATTAGGCTGAAGTGTGCCATATTAAAAAATATGGCTAGGTTGAGCAATATTAGAGATTGATTAACAAAATGAATTTGATCATTAGTTCAATACTTCATAAAAAGCTTATAAAACCCTGGAAAACCATATCCAAAAATTGAGCGAAAAAAGAGCAATTAAAGTTAAAAGTTTAAACAGATTAGATTTTTAATTTCCTTATTTTCTTTTATTTGACTAGAATGATGTATGCCAGAAGAGCATACGAGTAATGAAAATTTTATTCCTTATTCCAACCATATACGTAATCAAGATTAGAAGAATGATGGAATGAAATTGCATGGTAACATGCCACTAATTGAAGAATACGAAAATAAATGAAAATGAAAAGTTAAAATCAAATAAAAAAACTTTTATTAACTTTTTCCATCATCAGTCATTCGAGAGATAAGAATCTCTCTTATATAATGCGAGATATAATGAAAGTCGAAAGACAGTAGACACTTACAGTAAACGTAATTACTTAATCTGTATACTCTGCATACAAACAATGATGAAAAATAGAAAGAAAAGTTTTTTTTTTATTTCATCGTAAGACGCACAAGCAAAATCGACTGTTTACTTCAATGCGAAAGGAAAAGTTTCAATTGATTGTTGGATGAGGAAGAAAACAAAAGAATAAACTTAGTTTCTTACTTTTTTATCACTCAAAAAAAGATGAAATTTTTTCTACTTTATTCGTTTCATCGTCGTTGAATCGTGAAATAATCAACATTTTTTGGAAAATGGAAATTTTTCCTCCTATTTGCGATTCTTTTGTAGGAATTTTATCAGATTTTGATGAATTTAAGGAATTTTTAATTAGATTTGACATTTCAAACATGAAAAGAAAAGATGTTTAAAATCGGAGTGGATTATAAAATAGATTTCAACATTAAGGAACAGTTCGAACTTAAATCATATTCAAAATCAATGAAACCAGCAATAAAAAGTTTAATTTTGATGATGAACTCATTCAATAGTCCAAGATTTAATCTTCTTTAATTCATCGATTTCCCTCTGAATTCTTCCAAAGTCTCCAAAATCTAACTGCTCACTGTGAATCTTCAAACATTTGCTAAGTTCATGTATAAAATTTGAATTTATGAAAAAAATATTCCAAATATTACTTCACAACTTGACGAACTTCCAATCATAAAAGTTGCCAAAAATCTTCCAAAGGGAATTCACACTGAAAGAAGTAGAAGAATTGACGAGAATTATCATACACATGCACGCTGTTCTCAAATCATAATCTAATTGTACGAACACAAAAACACCACCTCCACATCCTAAATGTTCATTTTTATTCACATTCTCATCATTTTCGTACTTTATTGCACACAAACAACAAGACGAAAAAAACTTTGTTTTATGGTACACGCAATGAAAAATAAAATATATGTCAGTGCTATTCTCTATTCTAAGTCGTTTTATGTGTGTTATATAAAAGAAAGAATTTGTTTCTATGTTACTACGTCAATAGCTCATTATTGTATGAACTAGACCGAGTGATATTTTTTTTCCAATTCAGTTAATTGAAAACACTTATTGATGTTCTTAAGAGATGGGAAGTTCATAATGAGCAAAGTTTGAAGGAATAATTAGAAGATTTAGGTACAGTTTGACATTATTATCGATTATAGATTAAGTTGGGTGCTTAAACAAATTTGTTTTGAGACCAATTTGTGTAGTTCTTGTTTCTTGATTATTGGATCTTGGTTCTTAGTTCTTGGTTCTTGGTTCTTGGTTCTTGGTTCTTGGTTCTTGGCTCTTAGTTCTTGGTTCTTGATTCTTGGTTCTTAGTCTTGATTCTTGATTCTTGATTCTTGGTTCTTGATTCTTGATTCTTGAATTTTAGTTCTTGTTTCTAGGTTCTTGGTTCTTGATTCTTGATTCTTGGTTCTTGAATTTTAGTTCTTGTTTCTAGGTTCTTGGTTCTAGGTTCTAGGTTCTTGGTTCTTGGTTTTTGGTTCTTGGTTCTTAGATTTTGGTTTTTTGTTCTTGGTTCTTGATTTTTGGTTCTTAAATCTTGGTATTTGGTTCTTGGTTCTTAGATTTTGGTTTTTTGTTCTTGGTTCTTGATTTTTGGTTCTTGGTTCTTGGTTCTTGGTTCTTGGTTCTTAATTCTAGAACATAGATCCAGGGGTACTTCAGATATCCTACCCCAGCTCTTAACTGAGCCTAGTCAACAAACATTAATTTCCAAACTCTATCCATTCCAGCGTTTCTTACTTGCTCTCATCTTCATCAAAACTCTATTCTTCATCTCAATGCCTTCTTATTTCTTTTGTAATTTTTCAAATGAACCCATTATTTAGTTTTATATTTATGGCAAAAATAATAGTAAATCCATTTCTTTCTGATTGAATGAAAATCAATAAAGGAAAATAGTAAGCAACAAGAAATTATATTTAATAAAATAAATAGTAAACCTTTGTAACTTTTTCGATTGAATAGGAAGAAGGAAAATTACTTTTTCCTTTATATTTACTTTGACAGATATTCCACATATAAAAAATAAATATTGTGTTGACTCTACAGGTTTACGATAATGGACTAAGAGAAATATTTTATATCTTCTTTATTTTTATGAGAAATTCTATTGAATTAATATATCTCTTTATTTGCTTATGCATGAGAGACTTCTTTGCTGATGTATTTACTACAAGTTGATTCATATATTCAGAAGCACTCTATCTACTCATGGTTCTTCTTTGTACCTGTCTCAAATCATTGTCTGAAACTTAATCAAGTCTGAAAAACTAAGAAAAACTTAATGGTTATTCTATGCACGACTCTACTAAAGGTATGGTTGTAATCAATTCATTTAATTTGATTATAAATCCAATATGGTTCAATGCTCGACTATTTGGGCAAACTTTGTGGTCTATTCCTAGTTTAGTCATATTCTAAGGTCATAAACTAGGGTCATAAACTATTTTTATATACAAGAGTTATTTACTAGGGTCATATTTAAATCATAGAGTCAGAATATCTTCAATTCCAATTTTCTGTCAAACTACTTTGAATAAAGACTACAAACTAAGAAACTATCGTAAAGTTCCCTGTAAGATAATAAATATTTATTAACAAAACAATCTCAAAACCTACACGAAAGAGAAAAAATTAAATTAAATATTTTTTCTACAAGGAAAATCCAGACATTCTCCTCGTTTACTCTTCAGCTTTAAATTTAATCTCATTTGGAGGCGCTTGTTTAACTTCTTGTAATCGTAAAACTACAAGATAAATTTGTCTTGTTTAATTTAATTTCACTTCAGGTATTTTTTTTCCAAATGGAAGCTAGCTTTCCATTAAATGACTAACGAGTCAACTGGGAATTAAAATTTTTATCTTTTTCGGTTTTGGGTTTTTGTTTGTCTTGCACATAATGATTTGAGTTTAATTCCAATAAAATGCAGAAGTGTACGGTAGATTTAAGGTGGATTGGAGCAAATGAATTACTTTTGTGTAAATTAAAGATTACAAATGAAGTTTAATCAAAATTGTATTACGAACCAGAGCTCGTAAGGAGTCGAAATGCTCATGATTAGAAAAAATCGTGATTTTTCAAATCTTACGTAAATCTTTTTCGGACAAATCAACAAAAAACATGATTTTAGAAAATCATGAGAGTTTCAATTCTTCACGAGCCCTGTTCCGAACAGTTCAGCCTTATTGAAGTTGAGAATTATTCAGTGGTGCTCTGGCTAAGCAACATATTAAGGCGTCTAGCATTCCCATTCCCATAATTTTGTAAATCATCACCAAAACCAGCTAAAACTTAAAGACTAGCTTTAATAATTATAACACAGCACTGCATCCAGCTCTCATCCTCCTTACTTTTTTTTAAAGATAATTAATATTTCACCCTAATACCTTCTTCCAATTAATC